GGGATGATGAGATGCCCACAGAACTGCCGCTCACTGCATATTTTCTCTTTTCGGACCATTCTCTGTAAACTCTAGAGATGGTTGTGTGTGAAAATCCCAGTAGATCAGCAGTCACCTAAATCACCTTTCTAACCCCATTCTGATGCTTGGTTTGAACTGCAGCAGATCGCCTTGACCATGTCTACATGCCTAAATGCATTGAGTTGCTGCCATGTGATTGGCTGATTAGAAATTTGCATTAATAGGCATTTATTATTACCTAATAAAGTGGCCGGTGAGTGTATATATGTATTTTAATCATGCTTGGGAGATTTAAATCACCGAAAGCTTGTTAACCCAACACTTCAAAACATTCAAATACAGATCAAAACATAAATCCATATGATTAACATGGTTTCAGTTTTAAGAAGAGACATGAGGAGATATAATATTCCACAAATAGACCCTGTTTCTATCCGCTATTAATAAGCGTTTTTATTGATCCAATCACAAGTTGTCAGCCGGGAAACATAACCACTTCCACCTAGTATTAACATGCGATCAAATTCATCTCTTGTGACCACTTGTGCTCAGATTTCACAGAAACCATTCCTCTTATTTCATCATGCTGATCGTTATAACTGTATAAGTTCTACTGAAAGAATGAAAAACGTTCTATGACTTGAAAGCAGGTGAATGAAGAGGTTGTGGGTGGCAAATACAGTTTTCATCATAATCTGTGTGTTTTGCTACAACACAATGAAATATGAATATCATGGTGGCTATTTCAGGGAACCGTCAGACTTCTGTCGTTATACTAAAAATCATAGTGCCTGAGACTATAATGCCATTGGGTGAAACAGGATCACACCTCTGACTAAAAGGTTTGGGGTGTCAGGAAAAATGACGTTTGGTGTCAGGTCTTGTGTGAAACAGCTTCACAGTTAAAGGCATTGGATGTCATGGGATCAGTCCTAGAATGCATTGAATGAAATTATATCAGACTAAAATGTAAGGCTTAGGAAAAAACAGAATCAGACAAAATCACTTCTGAACCCAAAGGGCACCCTGTTGGGAAAAATAAACATTGATTGTCACTAAAGATAGTTCGACGGTTTGAGCTGGTTTAAACTAGTTTCTTAGCCTGTCATGAGTTGGTGTAAGCTGATCCCAAACTTGTCCTAAGTAACTAGCTACTGCTCAGGACCAGCACGTGAGATGACCAGTTTAACCCAGGTAAAAACCAGCTTAGAACAAGCTTAATGGTTTCAGACCACACAGATTTGCCTGAGACTAAAAAGAATTGGACTAAGGGACATCAGGTGAAATTACCTCAGACAAAAATGCATAGGATGAAACTACCCCAGACAAAAAGGCATAGAAATAAGCATGATCAGATAAAATCAGACGCTGAAACGGAATGACACATAAGGCTTTGGACATAAAAGAATGAAATAGCGTTAGACATAAAGGGATTAGATGAAATGGGGTCAGACAAAATAACATTAAATAAAAATGTATTGAACAAAATGGAATCAATCGAAAATACCCTAACCTGATTTCACCAGGCAGGACATATTCCTGGATGAACATCTATGTTGACTCAGGAACAACATTCCAATCAGCCAATCAGAATTAAGGATACGTTTACAGTTTAGGTTTATGCTTATGGTTAGGTTTATACACTTCTACTTGATTGTTATTCAACTATTATTCCCTTCTGATTTTGTGAATATATATATATATATATATATATATATATATATATATATATATATATATATATATATATATATATATATATGATTGGGTTTAGGTATAGGGAATATGTATCGATTATGTTTTTGAACAAAAATAATGTTCCAGGATCACAGCATCCTTGCCATGCTCAAAAATAGCCCCAGTCCAAAAGTCATGGGAAGAAATGGTCTTAGAGAAAAATACAATAAACAAAATGGCACTGGGCAAAAATATATGTAATGTAAAAATACCTAAGCTTTTATTCTGCTGTGCAAATCAGTCTTGTCCCCAAACTTTTCAGCCCACAACCCCTAAAATAACAATGCATGTGACTCGCAACTCCCACGTTTCTCAGAGGTGGTTATAAATAAACTAATATTTTCATGTTGTTGATTTTTATGTAACTATTAACTACTATTTTTATCTTCTGTGAGTTATGAATAAAATATGGCAAATCTAATAGTTTAATCAGTAAGCTGTCATTCTAATAATCAATAACAATTTGAAAAGTATGAAGTACAATAAGTTTATACAATATAGAAAATAAAGGCAAGCAATTGGTCAAAGGTGTGGAATCAGTGTACGTGGTTACATAAATTAATAGGTATTAACTTATCTTTGCTCTCAGCCAAAACATGTTACCTGAAAAAAGTAGGCAAATAGATTCAAAGATATAGGTCTACACAAGATGAATTAAAGATCACAGTTAAAAACAACAGAGAGATGAGATCCACCGGAAGATTCGGGATAGACTGACTGATTTTCGGCTGCTCTCAGCTGGACAGGTCTGCTCAGAGATACTGGTGACTGCCTGAACCTCAGACACGAAAATGAAAACATTGTTTTAAAAAGAAAACGGGTTAGTGTAAATGGGGCCTAAAATTGATTTGACTTTTGGAAACCTTCACGCGACCCTCAGTCATTGTCCACTGGTGTAGATGCCCAAAGTAGGGCCCGCTCAGAGAAGAGAGTGAGAACGATGGAGAGTGTTGGGGCGAATGCCTTTAAAGGAGATTGTCATTTCTAATTTGACGTAACGATTTTTTGTTTTTGTTTTGTATTATTGCTAAGCTACAAAAAAGCAAACTGAAATGAAATATTTCAATTAAATGTAAATAAATTAGAGTTTTTAAAATGTACAGTCAATAATGTCATTCAACGAAAAGAGGACTATACAGAAGACTTCTTTGAGCAAATCAAGGCAAAAACTAGTGAAATAAAGTGTAATGTATGCTGTATTAATTAATATAAAGCAATTTTTTTTGTCATTTTTAAATAGTATTAAATAAATTAGGAAATTACCCACTGCAACTGTATTTACCTTGGCTAATCAGGTTTGTTTTTTGGCCTTTCATAAGAAAAAGTTTGGGCACCCCTGGTCTAGTGCTTGAAACTTTTTATGAGTCATGAGTCCTCATACCATTTTGATCAACTCATAACCTCCATTATATGTTTACATGCTTAAAATTTTAACCAAACCTCATTGGTTCCTGATTCGACATGAAATTATCTTATTATCTTATTCAACAGTCATGTCAAAGCAGTCAGTAAATCAGCATACTATCATCTCAAAAACATAGCAAGAATCAGATGCTTTGTTTCTAGTGAAGATTTAGAGAAACTTGTTCATGCTTTTATCAGTAGCAGGGTGGATTACTGTAATGGACTCCTCACTTGCCTTCCCAAAAAGACAGTCAGACACTTGCAGCTCATCCAGAATGCTGCAGCCAGAATTCTGACCAGAAGCAGGAAATCAGAGCACATCACACCTGTCCTCAGGTCTCTACACTGGCTGCCAGTTACATTCAGAATAGATTTTAAAGTATTATTACTGGTCTATAAATCACTAAATGGCCAAGGACCTCAATACATTACAGATATGCTCACTGAATACAAACCTAACAGATCACTCAGATCTTTAGGATCATATAAACTAGAAGTTCCAAGAGTTCAGTCTAAGCAGGGTGAATCTGCCTTCAGCCACTACGCCCCTTGCTGCTGGAATCAGCTTCCAGAAATGATCAGATGTGCTCCAAAATTAGGCACATTCAAATCAAGACTGAAAACACATCTGTTTAGCTGTGCCTTTACTGAATGAGCACTGTGCTGCGCCCGACAGATCGCACTATTATGTTTTTCGTTTTCTTTTTCATTCTTTTATAACCTATTTTAACTCATTTTAATTTGTTTTTATCTGTTTTTAATAATTTTTATTGTCTGCATTTAATTTTCCTAAACTTGTCTTTTTTATTCCTGTTTATGTAAAGCACTTTGAATTGCCACTGTGTATGAAATGTGCTATATAAATAAACTTGCCTTGCCTTGCCTTGCCTTGCCTTGCCTTGCCTATTGGCTCTCAGGCATCAAGTAAGCATACATAAAGGGATAGTAAAAGGATTAAAAGGATTCACTTAAATGTAAATTCTGTCATCATTTACAATGTCTTTCTTCTGTTGAGCACAAAAAAGCTGATATCTTGATGAATGTTGAAAGCCAGCAGCCACTTGAACTCAAAAATATTATTTTTCCCGTTATGGATGTCAAAGGCTGTCAGTTCCTAACAATCTTGCTGACTAATGTTTAAATGTGATTAAAGGCCCAAATTAAATCTGTTCATCATAATAAGTGATTATGTCTTTTTAGAGCACTTGGATTAAACTGAATTTATATGGATTTCTTATCTCTTTTTAAGGGTTTTGGGTGAACAGACTTTCAATGGAGGGTCATTCTTAAGAGTTTGGAAGTTAAAGATTAAAGAAATTTCACTTTAGTGTGAAGTAACTCTTTAACACTGTCGTTATCCACACTCCATCGTCATCTTCATTGCTCCTCCTGCCCCACCAAATATCTCATCTGCAACCCCAAGCACGAATTCCCTTCCCATCGCCGCCCAGAAGCACATCACTCAAAACTGTCACACAGTGTTACCAACCACAGGCAGAGAGAAGAGATTATGGAGATGAAATCAATTATGCTTTAATACTGAACAGCGCAGGCCTTTCTCCGTGCTAAATCCAGAGCTGCCAAAGCACTGACTGCGATTGATTATCTCAGCATTGCCTCATCTCGCTGCCGCTGTCGTGCTGTACGCATACATAGCAGACGACCTCGGCGGAGCTTCAAAAATCCTCTTGTGCAGGCTGATTTCATATTAACTGGATGTTTGAAATTTCTGTTGTAGGCTGAATATCAGTATGCAGCTCGAGCCAGATCTCTTTCTGTCTGACTGCCTGTTCTTTGCTCGTGACGGCTTGGGTTTTGTTGTATTCGTGTATGTCTAGGAACGGCGGTGGCCGGAGTGGAACTTACTGTGCCAGCAACATCCTGATGGAGATGATCCAGTACCAAAATATCGTGGATGTATTCTACGCCGTCAAGACCCTTCGTAACGCCAAGCCCAACATGGTGGAGACACTGGTAAATGTTGGTGGAATAAATATACATATATATATATATATATATATATATATATATATATATATATATATATATATATATATATATATATATATATATATACACAGTTGATTAGGGTAATTGTTGCTAAATTAATGTAACAGTAATTCGATGTTTTCCTTTAAATAGCCAATTGCATAAATTTCTTTAGTTTTTACCGCTGATTTTAGGTATAAACTAACATCTGCATTAGCAAACATGCATATATCTGAACAAGTTTACACACAGGACAAATTAAATTAGCACCCAGATCTGTCATAAAGCTGTGGGCTTGTTTGTTTTCTTTTGAGGGGGTGCGGGGTTGTGTACCATGAGACATGGCACTGTACAGTAGGTGACACTTCAAAAGGACCATTACCACTGCAAGTGGAACCGCCGCTGCACTAAAGGATTAAAAACTTGTTTTTAGGTGTAACAGCAGTTTGCAACTAATAACATTTGGCCAAATATTAGTAACTTAGCCTGTAACAGGGGTCACCAACCCTGTTCCTGGAGAGCTACCTTCCTGCAGAATTCAGTCCCAACCCTGATCAAACACACCTGAACCAATTAATAGTACCTAAAGCAACACTTGATAATTACAAACAGGTGTGTTTGGTCAGGGTTGCAACTAAAATCTGCAGGAAGTAGCTATCCAGGAACAGGGTTGGTGACCCCTGGCCTATAATAACTAATAATTATTGATAAAGCCAATTATTCTGTGATCAGGTGACTAGGGGTCCGTTCTTCGTACCTCGCTTAAATGATCTAAGATGATTTGGCAGATCCTGGATCTTTTAATCTTGATAACTGATCTCTCGCTAATTTGGTTCTTCAAACAAGTTCGCGAATCAGATTAGAATGTCTGGATAAACTGATCTGAGATCGCTGCGTGTGTTGTGAAGGACAGATCTATCGATCCTCGAAATCATGATCAGCAATGCAGCGATTGGCTGACAGCACAGCAGCGTAATGACATCATCTGATTAATATTCAATTATCCATGTGAGCAAAATTACATCAAATTAGCAGTAAACGGTTTGTTAAATATGACACGCAATAACCTTCCACATTTGTTGTGAGCTGCAGGCTTTACACTTTTATGTGTCAAGTGTATTATCATGTATTTCAATGCAAATCAATGTATTTAGTTCTACATTTAGAAAAGATTTTCTTTATTATTGTAGCCGTTTTTTTAATCGGTGTAAAGAATAACTGGTTGTTTACAAAAGCATTTTAATATTGATAAAGGCGTCTGGAACTTTTGTGAAGCATCAAAACACTGGCATATTAACTATCAAAACATGTTTATGACTGCATAAATGGATTATTGCTTTAAAAAAAGTGACATATTGTGCATTTCTATTATACACAATTTGTACTAAAGCGATCTAAAAATTCATATAAATAAGTTTTCTCTTTGCACCACCAGGTGGCAGTCTTTGTACTTTCATTTCAAGGATGCAGATTGCATAAGTTTTATTAATATGTATAACTTTATTTATTTTATTAATAATTATAACTTTATATATATAGTTAAAAAATATGTACCATTTTCCCTAGTGTTTATAACTACTACTGTAAGAAAATATCAGAATTCGGAACATACTTTCTGTATTATCTTTGCTTGAACTGAGCCGATCTAATCCTGTTTATATGAATTGAACCTGCTCCCGATCAGGTTTGACCTAGCAGAACTGTTGCTATGACAACAACTCTCGGATCAGCTTTGAAGAACGAAACGATCCTGAATCGTGTCAAATCGTCAATATCCAAATCCAGCTAACTGAGTAATCCACGTACGAAGAACGGACCCCAGTGCTCCATCAGCCATGATAATATTTATATTATTGTGTAGTGTGTCACGGTTTTCATATCTTGTAGTGTGTGCACTATTAAAATGTGAGGTATTAGCATAGCCATGATGGTCAAAGTATGGTCAGTGGTATTGAAGTATGGAAGTTCATTCATTATTAAATGTCAAACTTGTATGCATATCACATTAGCCTGCTGTGAAAGAAATTAGACAGACTTTGAAAACATTTACACCATGCATGCTAAGTTAATAACAAAGCTCTTTTCCGTTATGAAAACATTTATTCGTTCAGAATGAGACACATTTAAATGGCTTTTATTAAACACGTCTTGTCCTGTGTTGTTTTAACGAATGCCATTACAATTTGTGTTTAATTTATTGCATATTATGAGATTTTTTTAATATTCTAAATAAAACTAAAGGATTTAGAAACTCAGCATACTTTTTACTCTAACACAATTTCATAGGGCACTATAAAGTCTAAAGAACTTAATTCTTACATTTGCTTAGTTTTTTGCAGCCTAGGGCTATGCTTCTCACCATGTATTGTATCTTTTCTAAAACATACAGTATAGTGTAAAAGCATGTTTATTACCAAGAAAACCAAAACGTCCACCAATCTTATATTTTAATTGAACTTCCATATGGCTTAACATTAGTAAACTAGCCTACTGTATGTGTGCCTTGGAAAACGGGTCCTAAATCTTGCCTCACTTCATTAACACTCAGTGCTATGCCTCCACTAGGTAGTGAGAAAACACAAACAGAGCAACTTTCAGCAACCCTAAATTGTCGTCTTGCTGTGTGAAGGATGAGGAGGTGTTTTAAATTTCCACAGTATAATAGACAGAATCCAAGACTGCCCCTGGGCCTCCCACATGTCAAGCATAAACTCAAAATATTGTACACTAGCATGTATTCGATGCATTAAATGTAGTAGTAGTATGCCCACACGGAAGATGTCTGCAGATTATTAGCCCATCATTGAGACTATTTACTTCTGCAAATGTATGTAAATTAATATTTATTATTTTTTGTTAATTTCAGCGATATTGTTTTGATATAATAATAGTAGAAATATTATCAATAGAAATATTAAATTATCATATGATTTATTTACAATACAGTTTGTAAAGTAATATTTTCTGTCTTTTAGTAGACATATTAGATGTGAGACTTGCTCCATTTACCAATTAATCTAATCTAATCTAATTTAATTTGCATTGTAAACATTAAATAAAAATTAACCATTTATTATTTTTTATTTCATATATTAAGTTTTTAGTTGCGATTACTCCTAAAATCATTCTGCATAAATCAGCAGATTTCTTGCAAAACTCAGCAGAGAAAGATGTCTGCCGACTCTGTCTGGCCCTAGTAATCACTGATGCAGCATGTAGCTGGACTTAACCAAACATTTTAGAATAGCTAAAGGAAACATTACCATTGAAATGGATGAATGAATCAAATGTTTAAGCGGTCAAGTATGACATCCTTTTGAAACTCTTTTGAATCATGAAGTTAAACATACTCTGTTGCTTCTGAGCATGGTTTTTAAAACACTGCTGGTTTTATTTATTACACTGAAGTTGTATACTTTACATGGAGCTTGAACTGTAATGTATCCTCACTTCTCTTTTAGATGTTTTTGAATAGTGTATTGCACTACAGATTGCTAATGCAAACAACTCAGAGGTATTTAGATGTTGAGAATCAATCTCATTGGCTGCTAAGGTGAAAGCCTTCAAACATCTGTACCATGTAATTGGAAGAAGATTGGTTAGCACCAGCTTTTAAAATGAGCACAGAATATTCAAACTGTGATTAAATTTCATAGTAAGTCTGTATTTTTTTAACATATAAAACATACTAAAAGACTAAAAAACATAAAAAAAACTTCAAACCTAATTTTTTATACAGTAGTGTACTCTGGATATACTGTAGTTTTGATGTCTTTCTGTCTCTTCGCCTTATAGGAGCAGTATCGTTTCTGTTATGAGCTGGTTCTGGAGTATTTGGACTGTTTAGAGGTCAGATAGCGGATTCCCCTTCTCCAAATCCCCCATGCTGACCTCACTGCATGGAGCAGGACCACCAGCAGGCTCAATCATACCCCTTACCTCCCTCTGCTGCCCTACTTTCTGCCATCGTACCTAGATCCAGATGAGACACACACAAAAAAAAAACAAGAAGTCAAGTTCTCTGCCTTTTTACCCCAAACATCCAAATAGGTTGTGTTCTTTCAGTTTCGGATATTTTCAGCGAGCCTGGCTTGGTGCGGTGTGGTTGCTTTAGCTCTGCTCACAGAGATAGTGTGCCGTTTCTAAAAACAGCGGCTTTATTTTACACCTGCCTGTTTATCTCCGACGTTCTGGACTGAAGAGCCGAAATAAACATCTCTTGGAGAAGATCTTCTCTTCATGTGGAGTTGAAAGTCGGGCGTCTCTACCGTGGCTCTTAAAAACAGGAGTCAGGCACCTGCAGTGCCCATTTTAAAAGAGGACAACACAAACACACATGCATGCACATCCCCACACACACACAGAATCAGCCAGCAGACAACTTTCCATCAACTGCCTATCAAGAAGCAGATGCCTCTTCGGCAACGTTTCCAGCAACAGCGATACAAGTTTTCCTCTCGTCTGATTGGTTATTGTATCATCAGAGGCGGAGTTTGTTACTATATATGGTGCCATATGAGGAAATTGACGGAAGAGTCAGATGGCCATACTTTGGCTTTTTTATCTTGTTGTGACTGTTGTCTTTTTCCTCTCACTTGTATATGTATATATATATATATATATATATATATATATATATATATATATATATATATATATATATATATATATATATATATATATATATATATATATTATACACATACATACACACTTAATGTCTGCTGGAAATCCCTTACGTCTTAAGGTGTAAGTCTCAAGTGCTAACAGTGGCCCTGTGTGCTTAAAGCGAAGGAAGTACATTAAGAAGGGGCAGACGTGATGGCATTGTAAAGCTTGCGATGGATTACACCCTGACCTTTATCCTCTCACTCAGTGGTTTTGAGAGAGCGCAGTTAATAGTCTTTTTACAACGGGAACAGTAGATGAAACTGTGTCAGACGTGAAGAGAAAGGACCAAAAGGAACACCGGCAAATCTTCTTCTTTTCACTCGTAACTATTTATCGGACTGACTCGTGTTCTCTGAGTGGATTTTGTTTAACAATTGTGCAGCTTTGAGTGTACAGCTGAATCCTGGGCTCGAGGTTCATCATAGCATCGCTTTATGTTTATCCACGTTCAAGGTACATTTATGTTCCATCGCAGTGTGTGATGGCTGTTTTCTTACAATAGCAGGACATGTGATAAGTGTGCTTTCCATTAATACAGTATACTGTAGATCATTCATTTCAAGCATCGGAGATGCAAATCCCATATTTGAATCATTAGATTTGGCCATTCACACCTCAGAGGTCTTTATGCTTATTAAAATTCTCGAAAGCAAAATATTACAGTTTATAATTCACCCATATTTTAGCATGCTTTAAAGTTGACACTTGTTTTTATTGGTTTTAAATACAGTTTAATTTAATATCAATTTGACAAATTTGAGATTTCTCTTCTTTTGGGCCATATTGTTTAAAATAATATTATATAAATAGCTTCAGTTGATTAAATAAGGCTGTATTTGTCATTTTAAGCATTTAGATTGATTATTTCTATTAGATTTCTTTTTGTATTAGGGCTTTAAATACAGCTCATATAAACTTGAAATGACCTTCTGAGGGTAAAAATCTACATTTTTATGATGTTGAGAAACCATTGTTCACTGTCTATTAGTTCATCAAATAATCATTATTTTCTAAGAGCTACTTTGTGTTTTATTCATAGAAGTTTCCACCGGACATTTTAGTGTAGGTAGAACAGTGATGGAAATACAAACTGTAATTACCACTAATTAATGACACTACTTTAACTACAAACTCTAAATACAAATGGTCAGAGTATCCCCATCAGTATTACAAACACATCTCTGAAACTGTTATGACCCCAACTGTGAAATTGCCATATCAGCAAGATGCCAAGTTAGCAAACCACAGAGGCATTTTCCCAATGATTACATTAGTCTGCATTAAGCTTCTCAGATGTCAACATGACACAGTCCACCCCAATATATGCCTGATAACCAGCTAGTTAAAGCAACTTCTGCCATTATTTACTAATCCTCATGCTGTTCCCAAACACCTAGTACTTAAATTCTTACTGAAAATGCAAAAGGAGAAGTTTTAGATGAATCATTACAGCTTGGGACAAGATGATGGTAGACTATTCATTTTTGGCTAAACTGTTCCTGTAAGACAGTCATTGAAAACATGTTTGAAAAGAAATTTCTGTGATTGATTTTTCACCAACACTCCCCTGTTGACTTTCTTGGAAAGTGCCTGGACACTCAGAGTTCAAGTGGAAGGTTTGTGTACATATAGATGTATATTTGTGTTCTGTGAATAGTATGTGAATCCTGAAGTTTGTTCGGCCAGATTTAACCATTTAAAAGTAACAGAAAGAGTTGAATGTACTGTACTTTTTTTCTGAAAATGTCGCCAAAAGATTTGACACATGCTCAGTTTAGCTGAGGATGATCTCTAAAAGCCATTCCAAAGTCGCCCCTTCTGACGGCCCATACAGTCACTTTAAAACCATTCAGTGATTGCTTTATTATTGTTTTAATGCCATGCTCATCCCAAAGACATTAGCCAACTTCTAATGGTAGTCACTAATTCTGCATAATTATTGTCCTTGTTGTTTCAGTATGCAGAGAAAGGAAGGACTTGTTGACAGATGTTGAGCCAGGTTCTTGTTTTTTCGTGCGTTTTTGTTTGTTTGTTTGTTTCCAAGTGTTTCTGTATGATACTGAATGGACTGAAAAAGAACTGTGTTTTTGACCATGTGTTTGTGGGACAGGAAGAGGATGCAGAGGTATATATCTCACGGGGAACTGAGGGTTGGGGTGGGACGGGGTCTTCAGACAACAATAAAATGTTCTAAGACTGTAAATGTTTGCTTGATTGTTTATTTCACCGTTTGTGCATTTGTGTAGCTTTCAGACCATATCAATCAACAAAGGTTCATTGTGAAAATGTCCCCCTATATACACTTCTGGAGATCGCAAATTATGTAGTCAAAGCTATTATGTATGGCTGCATTTTGTCTTTAAAATGAACGATACAGGACGGTGTGACGCTGTTTCTTTTCGTGCTTACCAGCTAAACGCAGAGCGGAGTTGACTGTGACGACAGGGTTCAAGTCTGGTGAAGAAGGTTTCCAGAAAGAGGTTGAGAATGTGGTCAAATCTGAAAATGTGGTAAAAATCAGGCTGCCACAAAGGCTTTTCTTTTTCTGGATTGATTTTCAAAACACTGTTGGTTGGGTTTATGCAAGGGGGTGGGAGGTAAATCAGTCGCTTGGTCAGTTAGTCATTCAGTCAGATGACAGCAGCCTCTGGTTGATTTAAGGTGGAAGAGCAGGAGTAAATGGCTCTTGTAAGAGAAATTTGAGATCTCGAAAAGCATACACAGCGGACTGGCAGATTCATGGAAACAGAAAAAAAATGCAAAAAAAAAAAGGTAGCTCCTGGGACATATTTTAACGCTCTCCAGAAATGTATATAGGGGTACATCATTAGAATGAGTCTGGATTGATATCAATAGATGGTAAATGAAGGCTTGTGCACACTGGTATGATGACCAGTATTTTTACAGATGTTTTTCGATGTTTGTACCCTATCAGTTTTCACTGGTGGTGGGCCATGGGAAGTTGCAAAGTCACTCCCTGACATTAGATGGTGTTTAATAACAAACAGGAAAACAAAATGTGGTGCTGTTTTTTTTTTGTTTTTGTTTTTTTGAAAGATTTTTTTAAGACAACTTTGCTTATTATTATGATGTTACAGTATATTGACAGAAAGTGAAGTAAATATAGTCTCAGAAAGTGAGAGGAGGATTGGTTTAGGAAATGTTTGCAAGTCAGGACCCAAAATTGCACTATATATCGGCACCCATTAAGCTATCGGTGCTGAGACAACTTTAGGCTTCTGACATTCGGCAAACCCATACACTTTTTTCTTGTGAATTTATTGCGCAGGCTTTTCCACTTGTGTTTAACCTCCTCCCCTATAGCACATAAGAACCTAGCCAAAGGTTTAATTGGAAAACTTACAAGCCCTAACCAAAAATTAAGTGAAATGAAATTCACCATTGAATCCTGTTTGATCTGCAATTCCTGCAATTCCATTTTGCGCCTGAATGCCACAAAATAGTGTTTTACTGTTATTTTTTAAATAAACCTGCCACTATCATACAACATAAGCAGGTCGCACACCAGAAGCGCCGCTCGGCGCCGCGACACGGCGCGTACATGACAGATTAAAGTATCGCACACCAGACGCGCACATTCGAATGATATTTAACATGAAACTAATCAGATGGCGCTCTGTGGCGCGGCTGAAAAATGAACTGCGTCCTGAGCCGTCGCCGGGCGCCGCCGACTTGCGGCGCCGGTGTGTGTATCCTGATAGAAACCTATGATTAGAATTCTAAAATACGTGGCGCTGCGCGACGCGCCGCCGAGCGTCGCTTCTGGTGTGCGACCTGCTATAGGCTCATTCTGAAAACATAGCCCTATATACATTTCTGGAGGTTGCGAATTATGTAGCCAGAAGTATGTATGGCTGCATTTCATCTTTAAAATGAACGCTACAGGGTCATATGATGCTGTTCCTTTTTGTGCTTACCAGCTGAACCCTTACCTCTGTATGGACAGCTTTCTTGCTCTTAAGAGTTTTTCCAGTCACTCGCCACACACTTTAATGAACTTGGGACACAGAGAGGAGTTGACCACGACGACAGGGTTCAAGTCAAGTGAAGAACGATTTTAGAAAGCGGGTAAAACAAAAACAGAAGCCATTAAAATAAACAAGTAAATAGCAGGGTGAGAATTTGGTAAAATCCTAAAATGTGGTAAAAATCAGGCGAGGGCTTTTCTTTTTATGGATTGCTTTTTAAAACTGTTGGTTGGTTTTAGGAAAGGGGGTGGGTAGGGGTTTCAGCTGGTAAGTCAGTTAGTCGACAGCAGCCTCTGGTGAGAAGAGCAGGCATGAATTGCACTCACAAGAGAAATTTGAGATCTCAAAAAGTGTACACAGCGGGCTCTGGTGGATTTACGAAAAAAAAAAAAACATAGCTCTTGGGATGTGTTTAGAGCTCTGCAGAAATGTATATAGAAGTACGTTTTGAATGAACGTACCTTGAGTGAACCTTGAGTTATCACTGATTGTCCAGCCTTTAACGTGACATGTCAAACTAAAAAATGAATCAGTTTTTTTTTTTTTTTTTTTGCTTTAAAGAGGCGTTTACACCTGCGATTTTGTGCATTGGTGTGCACACTCACATATGTGACTTTGATTATTTGGTGCCATTTTATGTCATGCAAAATAAAAGAATCATTTATTCCTGAAAAAAAAATGTCCTTATAAATATCTGAAAAGGAACAAGAGTTGTTGGCGTCATAACGCATAGGGTTTATGTTACCTAGAGACTGCAGTCATGCATATGTTAAAGTACATTTTTGCAGTTTCACAGAAATGTAAACTGAAGCACACACTGCAAAACAGTTTTCTGTATTTTGTGATTCATCTTTTTTTTTTCTTCACTTAGTCTTTTGGATTGCATTGTGGGATCTTGATAATTCCTCTGAAAGCTTTTGATGTTGAAAAGTTTGAAAAGAATTTGACTTTTTATTGATATTTTTAGTAGTTTGAAGTGACATATTGTCTTTGGGGTTTTAAATTATGGTACAGAAACCTGGTTATAAGCTCCCAGTACATTTTCTGTTATTTTACAAACTTAGCTCTCTAGATATTATTTCCTAAACAACATTTAGTCTCAGAACCACTGACGTAAATAAATGTGTGAACTACTATAACCAGCGATCTAATCCTGGCAGATCGCTGGTAAACACACAGTTCGCTAACAAACTACAAATCTGCCATTTTGGACTACAAGTTCCAGTCATGCACTGCTCACACACACCTGTTCCGAGACCTGGTGATGACACACACTCACACACAGACACACAGAAGCTGCTTATAACTGATTACATGCACTATAAAGAGAGCACTCACACACATACTTCTGTGCTGAGTCTTGTTATACTGTTTATGAACATTACAATGCGTTTTCCCTGCCTTGCCTTACCGGTCTTGACCCTCGCTTTGTTTTTTTTTAACTGTTTATTCCTGTCTGCTGCCTGCCTTTTGACCACTCTCCTATTATTTGTCTACAACTCTCGATTATCTGCATATACTCGTTTGCCCCTGTTTTGACCATTTCTTGCCTGACCATCTCTGTTTAATAAACCTGCATTTACATCTGCACTTCCTTTGTCAGCGTGCTATTCACATTACAGTTACCTAAGTATGGGTTTCTCTAGGTGGTTCATTCTGCTGTGGCGACCTCTCATAAATAAAAGACTAAGTCGAAGGAAAATGAATGAATGAACGAATGAATGAATGTGTGTCTCTAAAAGCCTTTTAATATCAAAGCCAAACGTTTAACTACTTCAAGAACAGAAATTGAAAAACAGAAATGTTTCTGCACATGTACATTGCAATGATCTATTGATAGCCATTTGTTCATTTTCTCCTGTTCCCTGATAGTTTTTTTATTTTATTATTTGGTCTGTCTGGGATTATTTTGTGATAATAACTAGGAGAGCTGTATGTTGTTTCCTGTTTATAATAAACAACATTTATAAAAGAGTCATGGCATTTGCTACAGAGTATGCACACGTTGCTGCTGTGGAAAACCTATTACCAGACATGCAGTCCATAATTATGGATGATCTTGGAAAAAAGTGAAGGCTCCGATTGTTCTTGGGTTCATCCTAAATGGAGGTTGAATATAAACACTGCGACCGCACTGACATTTCATATCCTTCTGCTTTGTCAGGAAGATCTTCTCTTCAGGGATGAACTCAGAGTCTCTGCTGATTCATTAGATTCTCTCGCCCCTTTTAGACCACCTTCGCTCTGTCTGCTTTTCAATCCTTCCCTCCTGACCGTTCCTCAGTCTGTAGCTTCTTATCAGTCTTTCTATCCCAGTCATACCTATTTTTATACCTGGTCTCTACCCAAGTCTTTCAATCCCTCTTTTTTTTTGTATTCCCTCCATTTCCTGCGGTAGATGTGATACCGCAGGCTTTCTCCTGTGACATACAGTAACTCGTGGAGGAGATGTGAATTATTCAACAGGCCTGCAAAGTGATCCAGTGTTGGAGCTTAAAGACATGCCAGATTAATTAGAGGACAAGACCTCCTCTGTCATAGAGCATATACTGAACTACAGTCCTGAGGAGTCACGATGGCTGGAAGAAGCAGTGCTGCTTACTGCATTTTTCATAAGTATGACAGTCGCTCAGGTGTTTACAACATATTCCTTTGTTGCTTTTGCTGTATTTTTAGAAATATGACAAAATACCCTGATGTTCTGACTATAAAAGAGAAGGTTAGATATGATAAAAGCTAAATAGTATATTTAGGACAAGAGTTTTTTTTTTTAATCTGACTAAATTAGCACCATGTAAAGTATGAACTATGCACTGTAAATAAAGGACTTGATTTAACAACAGGCGACGCAGTGGTGCAGTGGGTAGCACGATCGCCTCACAGCAAGAAAGTCGCTGGTTCGAGCCTCGGCTGGGTCATTTGGCATTTCTGTATGGAGTTTGCATGTTCTCCCTGTGTTTGCGTGGGTTTCCTCCGGGTGCTCTAGTTGAATTGGGTAAGCAAAGTTTCCGTAGTGTAGGTGTGTGATTAAATGTGTGTGGATGTTTCCCAGTGGTGGGTTGCAGCTGGAAGGGCATCCGCTGCATAAAACATGTGCTGGATAAGTTGGTGATTCATTCCGCTGTGGCGATCCCAGATTAATAAAGGGATTAAGCCGAAAATAAAATGAATGTATGAATGAATGAATGTATGAATGAATGAATGAATGAATGAA